AACAGTTCCAAGCACTCGTGTGCTTAACACTTCCAAGTGAGTCTTCAGTATAATACACGGTAAGATAAATTGAACGAAAATCGCTCAGATTACTTGGAAACGCAACGTACATGTACTGGCGACAGATAGGGGAAAAAATCATGTTACACGGAGAAAAAATGTCAAGCATACACGTCTCTAGAAGAAAAAATTCCTATTGCGTGAAAGGGTTGAAAAATTCATGCCTATACCAAATCACCCACACTCCCTTCAAAAGTCGAATGGTCCACCCCTACTAGCAGAAAGTGTCCGTTCTAAATACCATACAAACACTTGCACTTTTAAAACGTCATTAAGGAATAAGCACCAGTAAAAATCAGGCATTTTGAAAAATAAGATAAAAATGATTTTTCTGTTTGAATCACTTCATCTCTTTTAAGGATGAGGGACTGTGTAATAATTATCACCAGGCAGAAAGGCTGTAAAACTAGAGCGGTCATTTTTTGGAAAAGCAGGGGGGTAGTATGTAATTTTTTATGGGCGAGCTGATCTAAAGACCACTTATGTCTCACTAATAATGATACTCATTTCTGTCATGCTGTTTTTAACCAAAATCGCCATCAAATTGCAACAAGATCCATGCATCTTTCAAATATTAATATTACAAAATATTAATATTAATATATTATCAATAATATAAACACTTAATTTCTCCATATAACTAAGTGAATGTAGATTTTTTGAAAGAAAATTATGATTCGGTGGTCAAGAAGGACTAAGTAGCTCAACGGGCCAAAATACATTTACTGCGCAATCAACCTGCTTGTCGGCGCCATCTTGAATTTCGCACATGAGGTTGAAATGGTCTGCCAGACGTTTTTAAATTCGAGATCGAAAGCTCGGACTTGCGCAACTTAAGATAGTGTTCCTTTAAAGGCAACCGACAACAACGTTTTCGAACAATTTCTCCCCGAGACTCTGCTCGGCCAGTTCATGTCCCGTCCCCTACATTTTATCTGTTACATACTACGTCGTAGCATTACTTAGGAAAGTCGATAAAACATCATTTTGTTTACTTCTGAGTGAGCGATAGTCTGGGCGATGACTTGTCGATTTAATTTGTTACAGCTGAGTGATCGACAAATTTAGATATTGTAAACCCTAATAACAGTAATTAGTCGCTTCAACGCTTCGCGTATACGTATCGATGACTAAAAACACTGGATTAATTAACACATCGGTCAATATTAGTAGCATTCTTTTCTGCCATCTCCTCCCTTTTTCTTCCCTCGAAACAAACTGGCCATGCGAGTGTACTTGTGTTTATAATTTTCCATACGGAATGAAATTAATGCACTTGCTTAAAATCGCGAAATTAAAAAAAAAA